GTGTTTGGGAATTGCTAAGGCTTTTTCGTTTGGTCTTTGGATTTTTAAGGTTATTGGTGGTCTTTGAAATTCTAAGGTTTTTAGTGGTCGATCTACTCATGAGAAGAATTTTGATTTCTTCAAAGAACAAAATCAGCCATGTATGGGTTAAACGCTTTGATGTGTATGTAATGTAAAGAGTTGGGGATGTGTGGGATGTGGATTTTCACTAGGATAAAGATGTTTGCATGAGTATAAAGATGTGAAAGTAATGAATAGTATTTATTGACATTTTACAAATATTATTGCAGAGGACGTTTGCATAAGGATGATGACATTTACGGAACTCTGTGTTAGACAAGTTGCAAGTGAGAAACGACAATTGAGATAAAAAAATAAAAGAAGGGCGAGAAACAATGGTAGAGAGAGATTATTGTAATTAAAAAATAAAGACTAATTTATGAGAAAAAGAACTTGATTGTCCGGAGGAATATCTAATTCACAGAAAAAAAGAAGAAGAAAAGAAACTGCGTTGAGCGAAGAACGAACTCTGGTTTGCTAGATCAAGAACACAATAAAATAAAATAACTCAAATCCTCCACAAGAACAAGAACTTTGACCTAGGAACTAATCAAAGAATAATCAATCTTAGGTAAAACATACCCAAGAAATGGACGGAGCTGATTTGTGACTGCTCTGATACCATGTCAAACACTCAAAGAGGCAGAGGAAAGCTCTCATTTATTGACCATTATTAACATGTATCTATAATATAACCAGAGATAGCTTGTACCGCAATTTATCTTGCTGATAGCAAGATAAACTACAATGAGTAACTTCCTATGAAATATACACTTTCCATATATAACAAATAAATACAAAAATATTCAATCTCTACCGTTCGAACCTTGATTGCAGTTGTTGTGGTATGAAATTAGGACATCTTCTAGATAGATGTCAAGATTGCCTTCCTACATGGGGACCTATCTAAAACTGTTTATATGAGACCGCCGCTTGGGTATCCCACTTCGACTCCTCATATGATGGAAAAATTACAAAAGGACATTTATGGTCTAAAACAGGCACCTCGTGCTTGGTTTGCAAAGCTAAAGAGTACGCTTCAGGGTGCGGGCTATCATCAAAGTAGCAATGACTACTCTTTGTTCATTTCATCCACATCTAAGGGGAGTGTTTTTGTCTTGATTTATGTTGATGATATCTTAATTACAAGAGATGATCACCAAGGTATACAAGTTTTGTAAATTGTTCTCCAACATTATTTTCAAATAAAGGACTTGGGTTATATTACCTATTTCCTAGGACTTGAAATTGCTCGATCACCCAAAGGCTATTTGATTAGTGAAAGAAAATATACCAAGGACATGATAGCAAAGGTCGGACTCACATATGATAAGTGAGTAAATATACAATTAGAAATAAATGTCAAATATGGAAAGACTGAAGGCGACATCATAGCTCATCTGACTATATATCGGAGAATAGTTGGTAGCTTAGTCTATCTTAATGTGACATGAATAGATATAACTCATGTTGTTTAGTTTGTTAGTTAGTTTGTTTATGATCCGAGGAGACTTCATCTTGCTGTTGTTCATCACATTATCTGTTATCTTCAATCCACCACAACCGACATATCTCTTTCATATGATAGATCTTTGTCCTTAGTCTTGAAGGCGAATACAAATGATGATTATGCTGGTTGCCCTCGACACGCATCGTACCACTGTGGGCTATTGTGTCTTTCTTGATACTTCTCTAATCTCTTGGAAATCCAAGAAACAACCTACAGTGTCAACGTCTTCTATAGAGTCAGAATATCGGGATATGTCTTCTACATGTGGCAAAATTTCTGGTTGAGGCAACTTCTGGCCGATCTTGGAGTCACTAAAGTTTCCCCCACTCCTTTATTTTGTGACAATGAAAGTACAGTGAAGATTGTCAGCAACCCAGTTTTTCATACATGAACAAAGTATATTAAGGTAGATTGCCATTTTGTACGAGAAAAGTTTGAACGAGGAGATATATCACTACCCCATATTCCTTTCAAAGATCAGATTGTTGATTTTTTCACTAACACATTGACTAAAAGGCGCCATGATTATTTGTTGAACAAACTGATGTTGTTACGCTCCAATTAGTTTAAGGGGGAATGTTAGAAAATATGTATTGATAATGTATATCTCTTTATAGAGTAGGATAAGATAAAACTCTTTATAGTTTAAATGAGATTAGTTTGTTGTATAGGATAAAAAAAGTTGTAACACATAGCTGTAACCAATTCTTATTTTGATAGCCACAATGCGTACATACATGCTCAAACACTTGTATAAATATATGGGTTTTTCCTCAAATGAATACAAGAGAAATACTTCTCTCTTCACTGGTTATTGTATTTGACTCTTCCTTAGTATGAGTAGCTCTAAAGTACTATTCCATATCTTAAAGGAAGTTTTCTAGCTCCTTAGTGCTCTTAGTCCCCCTGAATGGCATTAGTTAGGTAGTGTAACTTATTGTTGCTCAAGCACATTAATAGAGTTATTGAACGTTCTCTTTACTACGCTAAGTTCATTATTTTGAGTCTATGAGATTTTTCTTAAACATGTTGGAAAATGCAAATGTTAGTTTCTAAAGCTCCTAGCTGGGTTTCCCAAGTACTAACACACTCCTAATGTCTTGTAGCCATTATAATGTCAATTGGTTAACCCAGAATGCTCCTCTGAGTAGTATCTCATGCAATAAATTGGTCTAGTTACTAGAGCCGATCCTTCCAATTAGTGAATCATCATGGAGCCATGCCCTAGAAATTTGATGAATCAAGGCTTTGATACTAACTATCATGGGGGTAATTTTTACTTAGTTAACTGTGTAGCCTTGAACCGACTTATTGCACACCTCATAAGAATACACATTAAACACACCCACAATAAGGGATGCGTGTATCAAGGTCGAGACCCCATTTTATTCAAGCTATAAAATTATATGTATACTGCCATAAATGCCCACAAAAGGTCTAGGCTAAGGGTTTGTATCGACCCCAATTATATGCAGCTCCGCTTGAGTAAGTTATCATTACCATCTGCACATTCTTGCTCACACCTCATGGCAATTAAGCTCGTGTCATAGACCCACTGTCCATCAAGCTGCCTCGTTTTGAATTCAAACTTGGAGCCTACCCAGCTCAGGTGCAACAAGCCAATATCTAGCCCACATTGCCGTGAGGTTTAAACCCATCCTCACCATATGTTACAAACCAGCCTTGTCTAGTGTGATTCTTTTGTTGATCCAAGGCTTGAGTAGCCCGTCATAATGGTTTATCGGTACAAAAAACTGGAGCGCCAAGGGGTGTAGGTCCATACTGCCAAGTAGCACAAGTTTGGATGGACTAGAATAGCTTTTTCCTTGGTTACTAACTGAGTGAAGGGAGGTTATAGAGCTAGCCCTCAACCAAAATGCAAGCACCAAGTTGAGGGCTGATACACTGCATGTACACAATACATAATAAAAGATAAAAGGAAAAATATATATACCATCATCTTTGTAATTATAGGTTCATGCTAGGTCTATGGACCCCAACCAAGTTGAAAGGAAAGTACATTGAATCTCCCTCTGCAAGTTTTTTATTGTTCCAATTACAATATTTATCCTTTTATTTTTTTAATGAGTCCATCAACTAAACTCTACATAAACTCTCCCTCTTTTTTTCTCTTCCTCGCCCATCATATCTCTCTTCACTTTTTCTTCCAATCTCAACCTCCATTGAATCCCCATATCTCTCTGTCCCTCTCATCTCGACGACCATACAAGAAGGTTAAAAGAGGGCCAAGTGATGGATTTATGTCAGAATCAGGTGGTTGCTTGCAACCACGTTTAGAGGGAGGCTAATGAGAGAGGTGATTTTCTTGCACAAGAAGGGCTCAGGCTTATTGTATTTTCATTTCTACTTTATCTTTATAACCGTGGTGTTGTTTATTGAATAATAAAGTTACGTGCACTTGTAAAAATAGAAAAAGAAAAATAGGCATTCCAATTCTATTTATATGGTGTTTATATAGAGCCTAGGCTCTAAACAATCAAATTAGAGCCTACCTGAAAAATTTCACTAGAAGAGGTTGTTTTGATGCCCAAATATCCTCAAATTGATCATCTCAACATCAAGATGCATGGACTTCTAAAAAAAATGGATTTCAAGTTTTGGAAATAGTACATATTGTGATGCATACTTGGACCATCAATATTTTAGTTATTCAAGATTTCATAGATCTGCTCGATCTACACTATTTTTGAAGTTTAAATTTTATAATTAAAAGTTAAAATATATTTTAAGGTTATTACAAATATTTCCAGTATTAAAACCATATTTCTAGATACTATTTGAAGGTGGGCTCCAATTTCATTGTTTAGATTCTATACAAACTGCACCCAAAAAATAAAGGGAAAAGTTTTTATAGAGCCGAGGCTCTAAACAATCATATTTGAGCCTACCTAAAAATTTCACTAGAAGGGGTTGTTTTGTTACCCAAATATCTTCAAATTGATCATCTCGACATCAAGATGCGTTGACACGAGAAAAAAATGGATTTCAAGTTTTGGAAAGAGTGTATTTTGTAACACATTTTTGGACGGTCAATTTTCAAGGTTTCATAGATATGCCGATCTACATGATTTTTGAAGCTTTAAACTTTATAAATAAATATAAAAATATATTTTAAGGCTATCACAAAGATTTTCAGTATTAAAACTATATTTCTTGATACTTCTCTAATTTTCTTGTTTAGAGCCTAGGCTCTATACAAACCTTACCCAAAAAATAAATATAAATATGGTGATTTGGATAATGAAAACGGTAAGTAAAGGGTTTGAAATATTTTTCTTTTGTCTAGTAGGGTGTGTGCACGCTTTCTATCGAACAAGGGGTTATTTGAATTTCGGTTCTGTTAGTTCGTCATTTCAATAGAAGCTGAGGCGTCTGGGTTGTTATTATTCACATTTTATACCTCCAAAGTGTGTTCGTAAATGGGTAAGAAAGAAGCCGTTGGCTGAAAATGAAGAGCGGCACTGCCCTCTGTCACTTCGCTCCTAGGGGTTTTTCCTTGCCTTCTGCCACTCTCATTAATCCTACTATTTTGAGATACTTGCATAAAAAACCTTCTTTTTTCATATTTAGTATCAGAAATTTATCTCATTCTGGTGTTCTTAGAAGCCCCGACCTTGTAGAATTGGAGTATGGGGACCTCAACCTCAAGAGCATGGTTGGAGAGGTCCATTCTCGGTTGTTCGTCATAGATTTATCCTAGTGATTTTTAACATTCTTTAAATTTAATTTTATTTCCCACTCTCCCATAAATTAATTGAATGGGTGGGTTCTTTTAACTTTTATTTGATCCCCCATTTCTGTCTTAATTATTGTTATTTTTATTGTTATTTGCAGGTTGGTCATGTTCGTATTAGGCAGCATGTGAACCCCCTTAGCTCATTTTTCAGGGTATGTAATTGAGCTCTTTTTGAGTCTTAAAAAGCTTTAAATGATTTTGTGTCAATCTGATTGCAACTTTTGTGCATTTATCTTTCATATTTAGATTCTTAATTTTAACTTTATTAATAATAGTCGTGTCTAACAGAAATCTGTGAAAATACCCAGTTGGAATGAGTTTTTCGAAGACCCAACATTACCCCTCATGGTGGACATTGGTAGTGGTAGGTGTCTTCGTCAAGGCACCCTCTTTTATTTATTGATAAGAGGCAATTCGTATTGAAGAGGGCATCCTTTTTAGTTTGACAGTTAACCTCTGCACCAAATTTTCAGGTAGTGGCAGGTTTCTAATTTGGCTCGCGAAAAGATTCCCAAATGCTAAAAATCATCTGGGGTTGGAAATTAGAAATAAGGTAGGATAACTTTTTCAGTTTATTTTTGAACATTCAATCTTATTAATTTTAATTTTCCTTGATGAATAACAACACCCTTAAGCATTATTTAGAAATGATATTTTTGTTCATTTTCTTCTTTTTGGTTTGCTTGACTTCAGACAGTAATTGTTATTGTTGGATGCTTTGAATCAGTTGGTTCAGCGAGCGCAGTTCTGGGTGAAAGAGTTGGCACTGAAAAACATGTAAGGATTCAATTTTCAGCTTTGTTCTTTAACGATGTCCAAGATTTATCTCTTTATTCATTGAACAAACTCCTCACTAAAATCAATTCTAAAAATCTTCTTTGTTGAACTTTGGACTCAGATATTTCATGTTTGCAAATGCCGCAGTTTCTTTTGATCAGCTTGTGGCAGCTTATCCAGGACCTCTGATGTGTGTGTCTATATTAGTAAGGGCATTATTTCCTCATTGCTGTATTAATTTACTTGATTACAGACTCTGAAATAAACGTCATGGAGTATGTTGTTGTGTATGACTTTTGGACAATTAAAGGATCTGATACATATTTCTGTTAGCAGTGTCCAGATCCTCACTTCAAGAAAAGGCATCACAAAAGAAGAATAGTACAGAAGGAGTTGGTTGATTCCATTTCGAAGCATTTGAGCCCTGGTGGACATGTATGTCTATCTTTCTTCTCCTTTTATTTTTTGAAATTATTTTGGTTCTCTTTCACAGGGTGGTGATATTATAGCTTTAGTAAACAATGTTGGGGATAATGGTCATATTGCTGGTTTAATGAGATTAATCCATGTTTATCATCCCCCCAGAAATACAAAGATCAACATTTGTCAACAAGAGTATGTATGGTATAACATGTACCCATACAGATATACACCAGCATACATATATTTGCATGCGTGTGCGCGCATAAAAATTTGCATGGATTGTACACATATGCTCGTATATATCTATATCTCTATGTATTATGCAGTGTTCAAAAGCTCCAAGTCGGTAGCTGACTCTATCATCAATTGCTAGCAGATTAGAAATGCCATTTATAGATACTATTACATTATACTGAAAATTATATATAACTGAAAACTCAGGCACACCTGTGTTTTTCATTTAGAAAACTCGTTCATCGTATGATTCAAGTTACTCAGAGAGATTCCCGAGTTGAAGTCAATTTTTTGTACATGGTATTATGCTTGTGTTTGTGGGTGGCTATTTTTCGATGATTGAAAATGGGAGGTCAGGTTAGTGAATGGAGATCTGTAAGGCGGTCTCTGACCTAGGCCATGACAAGGCACCTCAACAGGATGGATTCACAGTGGCCTTGTTCCACCAGTTCTAGGATACTCGAGCTCCACATGTTCTGGCTCTTTTTAGTGTTCTACAATAGGAGGTTCATCCTCCGAGGATCAGCTCCACATTCACTGTCCTGGTTCCTAAAATTGAAGGGGCTGACGAACTCTAGGGATTGAGCCTCCTAAACAGCTCGTACGAGATTCTGTCCAAAGTGTAAGCCTTCAATGCAACAAGTGTTGAGTTATGCTGTGTCCCCTATTCAAGGTGCTTTTGTGATGGATCACCAAATTTTGGGTGGTACCTTGCCACACAAATGCATCTTTGCCAGGAACTAATTTAAATCTCTTGCGGTGGTCTTAAGTTGGATTGGTAGAAGTGTATAACCATGTAGAGTGGGATATACTGGACTGGGTCTTAGAGAGTATGGGTTTTGGCAAAAATGGAAAACTTGGATTTTCGGTTGCATCATATCCCTGCCCTTCTTGATACTAATAAATGGCTGTCCCCATGGCTTCCTCCCTCTGTCGAGGGGTCTCTGTTCCACTCTTCCGTTTTCTGTTTACTATGGCAGGAGAATTTTTGGGCAAGTCTGTTTTAGACCTCTACAGTCAAAACCTTCTCCAAGGATTTCTTTCCTCTAGTAGGCGATGGGTTTGTATTAACCAGAATATCGAACAACTATTGACCGAGAGCTTGGAATGTTGGGCTGTGTCTTCTACTCAACAAGTATCTTGTCCTTCCCCTGTGCCGAGGAAAACCTTGAAAGGCATAATGGGATGGGGTAGTCAAAAATTTCAGGAGGACATTGGCGACATGGAAAGCTAGATTCATGTTGCGAAGATGCAGAATTATGCTTATAAAAGCTACCCTAATCATTATTGTGGTGTGTAAAATGTCTGTCTTCAGAATGCCAGTGGCCACTGCGGATAGGTTAGAGCACCTGATGGGAGATTTTCCTATGGTCAGGTTGGGGGTTGGGTGGGAGGAAGTGAGATATTTTTGGGGTGGGGGGGGGGTTCACATAAATTTTATTTGTCAAGTTTGGGAATTGGTGTGTAAACCTAGCAGACTGGCTGGTAGGAGTTAGGGCACTCATTTACTGCAATACTGCTGTTCTTAGTAAATGGTGGTGCTTAGCAAAAAGATGTCACATGTGGCAGCATGTAATCCAAGAAAAGTATCAGCTAGATGCGTTGGACTCACTTCCTAAGAGCTTTGCAAATTCTCGTGCCTCCGGTGCTTGGAAGGGAATAGCACCATCCACCGTGACTTTATCAATAGAACTTCAATTCATGGTGTAAAATGGGGAGTGCAGTAGGATGTGGCGATATTGAATCTATTGAACGGTTTGGTACGCCACTTTAGAAAGCCTTTTCCCTACCTTATTCACTGTAGCTACAGGCTAAAATGCATTGATTGGCCAGTCTTATGTGGGAGGAGCCAACCGGTATCGACATCAAGTTTGAGGATAAACCATTGCAATTCGGAAATTCCGCCGTTGCCATTCTGCTGGATCTTCTCTTTTGTAAGATTCAAATAATCTTGTGCATGGGTAGTTATAAATTGATTTGGGCCCCAACTTCCCCAGGCATTCTCTTAGTTCTATATGTGTAAAATACTGTGAACCCACCAACATTATGCTTGTCACAGCAAACAAAGCCTGGTTTACCTGTCCCACCTAAGTTACAGGCATTCAATTGGTTGGTTATCTCTAAGAAAGCTTTGACCATAGACCAGATTCAAAGGAGAGGGATTCCATTACCCGATTGCTTGTTTATCCACCGACAGTTGTGGCGCTGATGTAGGCCTTTATTCTTTGCCTTTTTGAACTTGGGTGGGTTTTTCCTGAAAATGTACAACAGCTATTCTCGGCCTACTTCTCTCCACAATTTCCCGCTGGAGATCTTTTCCTTTGACGAGCCTCTGTTTTGGCTTCTATTTGGTCAATATGTCTAGAGTGCAACATGCAGATCTTTGAGAGTAAGGAAATTCACATGCGTGCATTAAAAGAAAAGATCAAATCCACTGTTACTTTTTGGGTCTGAACCCGAGAGGGGTTCTTATTTTGGCCTCTGCATATTTTGTAAAAATCTGAGGCATTGATCTAAGGATGAGGATGATGATTATTTCTAGGTCCAACTTGGGGCCACACTGCTACCTGGAGTCATCAAAGTCAACTTTCATGATGCTCCTTTATTAATCCAGGCCCAGCAGGCATTGGGGGCATATTTTTTGAACCAATTCAGCTTGATTTATTACTCGTCTATTGAGGCTCCATTGGCACAATGAATTCCACAAAAGCCGAGGCATTGTTGGAATTGGATGGCCTGAAATTGTTTGACTGCAGATAGGCCCCCTCCCTTGAGGTGGAAGGGGATTCAATGGATGTTACTAGATGGGCCTCAAGGGAGGAAACCCGTCCTTAGTATCTAGAACACCCTTTTGACCAAACTTTTGAGATTGTAGCACTATGCAAGTCTACTTCAAGCACTTATGGCGCGAAGCAAATGCGGTTGCCGATGCTGTAGCGAGTGACAAGGCTGCCAATAATTATTTCTTAGTTAAGAGCCCTAGTCCAAGCAGGATAGTTTTGCTTTATTGTTTGTACAAAATCATTCTATTTTGCCCCGTCCATTTGGAACAGATACTACTATATGCAGCCATGTAAATTTCTTTACTATTAATGCAAAAAATCAACTTTCTCATAAGAGAAAATTTTAAAAATGACATTGGAAGGAAAATCTCCATTTCTTTATTAGATCTGAAGAATTTCTTGTGACTGAAGTCAGTATTACTGTGAACATCGATAAACATTGTGAGTCTGCGTGCTAGGGAACCTACACAACTTGTGGAGCTTAATTAATAGAGGAGCATGATAAGTTGTTAGTCTCAAGTTGAAACCCTTTTCTTTTTTCTTATGTGCTGTTTTGATATCTTTAGTTTTTGTTGCTTAGTAGATTGCACAGTGACAATGAGAATCCAGTTGTAGCTAATTAGGACATCAGTGCTCCCCCGAAAAGTGCCCCTTTTATTGATTTGGTGGTGGTTGAACAGACATGAGAGATGATTGTAGCCTGGGGTTTTATCTTCATTTGCCTAATGGTAATATTTTCTTCTTTAATGATAAACAGGTGTTTTTGCAGTCTGATGTGCTTGAAGTGGCCCTCGACATGAGGCAACAATTCGATGCCCTCTCTGATACCTTTGATCATATGGATGCCATCGCTTCGGATTCAAATTGTGATGAGCAAGGATGGCTACTGGACAACCCCATGGGTATAAGAACAGAGAGAGAGATCCATGCTCTATTTGAGAAAGGAAAAGTATACAGAAGGATGTATCAGAAACGTGCCTGATAATTATTTATGTATTTGTTATAATTACTTATTTTGGATGGTTAAGATGGGTTTCTGACGGAGACATAAGAATTGTGGTGTTCTTGTGCTTGGAAAGGCGAGCAGAGCAGCCAAATCTTATGTATTGAGATATCAAGGTTGAAGCTAAGGGTCTGTTTGGTAGCTCTGTTCCTAATAACCGCCATGGACTTCCGCCTTTTATGGTCATCTCTGAAAATTGTTGTCGCTGATCATGCGATATAAACATCTCTGATAAATTGATAATGTCCTTTTTTTTTTTTGCTCACATCAATAGAAGTTTTTATTTTTATTTTTTGTATCAGTGGGGTTGTATAAGGTGCCCATATTATACTATGCAAATAAACCTTATACCATACATGTTGGGCGTGCTTCTACATTTTGCTAAAAGATACAGTAAACTTTTTATAAACTTTTTATAATGGTTTGAAAATCCATGTTTTAATTTTATTTTTAAAATTCAAAATTTTAAAAATGTTGCAGATTAAGTATATCTATAAGACTTAAAATCTTGAAAATGAAACGGGTCCCTATAACTTGTGACAATATGGATTATTTTGAGCACATGGAACTCTTTTTTTTTTTCTTTGTATTTATACATTTTGAGTTCGAAATGATTAATTTGAAGGTTTTTCAGCTTTGGAACATTGTTGTCTATTAGATTTTTGAGGTCACCGATCAAATTATGTAGGGACAAGGTGTTGACACGTTTATTATGGTTTGGGTTATATTTTTGCAAATATTTCATGGAGAACCCTTCATGGGCCATTTTTTTTTCTCGAGAATTGCCCTTTTGTCCTGCGTTTCCAACACTGAACATATAGGAATTCTCACAAATTTTTTGACCTTTCAATAGTGCAAGGGTCTATCGAATACTACCAAAACAAAACACAAAAGCTAATCAGTTTTTCTAGTACGGAGCAACCCAACTTCTCAAGCTGTTCGGCAGTAAAAAACCGGAACCTATTAGAAGTAGTTAAAGTTTTTATTGTTTAATTAGTATGATAAAATTTATGTTATGTAACTAATTTTGTTTATTTCTTATTTTATTTTTCATACATTTTCCTTTATCTTTAATCCGATCTTTTGGGTTTTTTATTTCCAATTTTTTTTGTCTAAATTTGTATTTTATTATTTCTAATCTATTTTAGATTTATAAAAAATCGATTCAGTTAGTTTGGACTTGGCTGAGTTACTCGGGCTCGGGCACTGGTTGAGCCCGAGTTGTCTCGAGTTGGGGGTCCAACTTGGGGATATTTAACAAAATACAAAACAATTTATTAAAAATCTCAAAAAATAGAAAATCTAGTTGTAATATGTTTTTATATATTTTCTATCATTTTGCCAAAGATTGGAAAGTATTTTGGCCATGAATACTTGTTTTACATTTTTCGATTTTTTTTTGGAAAACTTTGAAACATTGTCCTATTTTTTTTTCAGCTTTGGAACATTGTTGTCTATTAGATTTTTGAAGTCACCGATCAAATTTTGGAGGGACAAGGTGTCGACACGTTTATTATGGTTTGGGTTATATTTTTGCAAATATTATATGGAGACCCCTTCATGGGCTTCTTTTTTTTTATTTTTTATTTTTTTTCTCTCTAGAATTGCCCTTTTGTTCTGCGTTTCCAACACTGAACATATAGGAAATCTCACAATTTTTTTGACCTTTTCAATAGTAAGGGTCTATCCAATACTACCAAAACACTATTCAGTTTTTCTAGTACGGAGCAACTCAACTTCTCAAGCTGTACGGCAGTAGAAAACCCGAACCTATTATAAGTTGTTAAGTTTTTATTGTTTAATTAGTATGATAAAATTTATGTTATGTAACTAATTTTGTTTATTTCTTATTTTATTTTTCATACATTTTCCTTTATCTTTTATCCGATCTTTTAGGTTTTTATTTTCAATTTTCTTTGTCTAAATTTGTATTTTATTATTTCTAATCTATTTTAGATTTATAAAAAATCGATTGAGTTAGCTTGGACTTGGCTGAGTTACTCGGGCTCCGGCACTGGTTGAGCCCGAGTTGTCTCGAGTTGGGGGTCCAACTTGGGGATATTTTAAAAAATCCAAAACAATTTATTAAAAATCTCAAAAAATAGAAAATCTAGTTGTAATATGTTTTTATATATTTTCTATCATTTTGCCAAAGATTGGAAAGTATTTTGGCCATGAATACTTGTTTTACATTTTCCTATTTTTTTTTGGAAAACTTTGAAAATACTCCCAGTCATTAACCGATTTTTCAAACTCTATTTTTTACCACATTTGGAGTGTCTATTTTAAAAGAATAGGAGAATCTAATAAGAATATTTAAAAAATAACTAGCAAAAAATAAATGGATCAAAATACCCATAAAACGTTTTAGGGGTATTTTGGTTCAATTATTTTTTGTGAATTAATTTTTTAATATTTTTATTGGGTGTGGTTTGCATAATGTTGCAACCTTAAACAATTCAATTAAGGTGCTCCTTTAAATTTTATCATAAATATAATTTTGATATAAAAAATTCTTAGGATGGGTTGAAAATATATTTTGAAGGTTTTCCAAAATCCAAACCTTTTATGTTGGATTTTTTATGTGCATATTTAATTATACATTTTAAGGTTGCAACCTTATTCAACTTTTCCCTTTTTTATTTGATTCACCTTTTTTTTTTTTTCCAAATAGACGTTCCAAAGTTCAATTGACTTGGTTTTGTATAAAAAAAATTAAAATTAAAATATAAAATGCAATCGTGGCCATTCGATCTGCCCGAATTAAATATGGGCTACTAGACGTTTACTGTAGTTGTCAGCTAGTGGGCTGCCCTCATACTCTCTCTCTCTCTCTTGATATATATATATATAGATATATATAAGCATGAAAAAAGAAAAAGGACACTCTGTTAGGGGGAAAGTTGAGGAGGTATTATGTAGTATAGAGAAATGTGACCTAGTTATGCAAAATTTAGGAGATTGATCTCAAGATTTGATGTTGGAGAGCAGCTCTAAAATAAATGAGTTTCAAGAGCTTAAAAGAGCTGAAGAAATTTATTGGAGACAAAAGGTCTAGAGTGAAATGGTTGAAAGAAGGGGATCTTAATACAAAGTTTTTCTATGCCGTAGCAAATACGAGATACCGTCGGAATGACATCTCTGATTTGGTGATTCAAGGAGTCAATGTTGAGGATTGTCTTGGAATATCTAATGCCATTGTTAATCATTTTGAAAATGCTTTCATTTTTGAGGTAAAGTATATCCCTCGTTTAACTAGGGTGGAGTTTAAGGTTCTACCGTCATATTCAAGTTCTTTCTTGGAAAGATATGTTTCTATAGAGGAATTAAAAAGTGCGGTTTTTGCATTGTCAGGAGATAAGGCACCTGGTCCCGATGGCTTATCTTTAATCTTCTTTCATAAGTTTTGGAATTTGATTTGTGGTGAACTACTGGAAATGACCAGGGGGTTTCTTAGGAGAGGTAAACTTTTCAGAGGGGTTAACTCCACCTATATCGCACTGATTCTTAAAAAGGCAGTCATTATTACTCTTAGTGACATTAGACCCATTAGTCTTTTAAGTAGGCTTTATAAAATTATTGCGAAGGTTCTAGCGGAACGTTTAAAACTGGTATTACTAGCTATTATCTTCGGTCCCCAGTCAGCTTTTATTAAGGATAGATTGATTTTAGACAGTGTAATGGTGACACATGAGTGTATCATTCTAAAGTTCTGAATGAGAGCGCTGGGGTAGTCATTAAATTGGATACGGAAAAGGCTTATGACAGGGTGGAGTGGAGTGTTTTGCTCGAAATCATGAAGAATATGGGGTTTGGGGAGTTGTGGAGAAAATAGATCCTTGGATGTTTATCCTCATCACACTTCAAGGCATCCCAGGGTCTTCGTCATGGTGACCCTCTTTCTCCTTTCTTATTTACTATTCATGCATAATGTTTCAATTTGCATGTGAGAAATATTGAAAGGAGTTGTCATTTCAAGGGTTTTCAAATGCCAAATGGAGGCCCCTGCATTTCCCATTTGCAGTATGCAGATGATACTTTGTTGTTCTGTGAGGCAGAGGTTGACCAGGTTAGTAATATTGCTACCTTTTTAAGATGTTGTGAAGTTGCATTAGGCCTTAAGGTTAATTTTGATAAAACTAAGAAATGACAAAGGTGTTGGGGTGTAAAGTGGAAAATTTACCCATCATGTATTTGGGGATGCCTATTTTGGATGGTCGACTCCCGATTGCTGTTTGGGACAAAATCATCCAACGAATTCAAGTGAAGGTTGATCTATGGAAATTTAAATACCATTTCTTGGGGGGAAGGATAACCCTGTCAAGGTGTGCCTGTCAAATTTACCTATTTATCAGATGTCCATATTGCAGATCCCCTCGTTGGTTGCTAGGAAAATTGAAATCTTAATAAGAAACTTCCTGTGGGGTTCTTCTATAGATTTTAGGAAATTTCATCTGCTAAGATGAGATAGGGTGTGCACACCCAAGAGTGAAGGAGATCTAGGAATAAGGAGAGTTAAACTTGTCATTCAGGCGTTGCTATGTAAGTGGTGGGGGAGGAGCTTAAATTTCAAAGACCATTTATGGTACAAAGTGATCGCAACAAAGTGTGGTGTGGATAGGTTTGGAATGTAGGATGGATCGAGGAATAATACTAAGGAGATGTCTTATTGTTGGAGATCTATTCATTCTTGTAGATTTCTCATTCACAGGGTCATTCGGTGGTGTCTAAGAGATAGACACAATATCTCTTTCTGGGATCACAAATGGTTAGGGTCTTCACCTTTGAAATATATATTTCTTATTTTATTTCAGAGGATGGCCAATCCCAATGCCCTCGTCTCTGAATATTTTGAACGCAAGGAAAACCAATTGTATCGAAAATTAATCTTCCATACAATAGGATTTCATACTCTCTCTTTGCTGAATGCTTTGACTTATTGATGCTACTTACTGAAGTTTACATTTCTCACAATGCTGCTGATGAGGTAGTGTGGGATATTGACAAAGATGAAGACTATTCGGTTAAGTCGATGTACCAATTATTGTTTCATGATGATGGAGGTGGACCATGCTTGAAGTTGCTGTGGTTTGGAACTAGCCTTTATCTCTTAAAGTTCGAGTTTTTCTATGGCTGGCAGTTCAAAACAAGGTTTTGACAATTGATAATCTCATTAAGAGGGGAAAGACCTTGCCAAATGTCTATCTGTTGTGTAAGGAGGAGGATGGTGAAACAAGTGCTTATTTATTTCTCTAC